TTATACTTCTCTCTACTGGTTGTAAATGCTTACTAGTTTTGAAAATTCACCATTCCTTTATACTTATCTAAAACAAGTGAAGAAAAAATAAATAAAAGTGAACTTTTAGGCAAAAAATGAGGAAAAACGATGAAAAAATAGGTCTTTCTGATGATCATTCGACAAACCCTCTCTCTCCCACAATTTCTAAAACCCAACAGTACTACCCTTAACTCACAGCCAGTTTTATACGAAAACACAGTTCGCATTCCACAGCGTATTTCCTCAGCATCGCCATAAATGCAATTATTTCAACACTAAAAAGAAAAAGAAAAATCAAACTACTATGGAAAATGAGTATTTCAAAAAAGTGACGAACGGTAGTAAAGCGTAAGAGAATGAGAATGAGGCAATGAGGAATAAAGTTTTCTAAAAGCGCCAACTGAAAAAGCGTTTAACTTCGCGTATTTCTTTCGACTTCATTCCGCGACATAAAATTGGGAAGGAAGAAGAAGAGCATAAAAGAGAGGGATAGGAAACAAACCAATGTTAGGCACAAAATGACGATGTCACCAGTTATTTTGAAAGAATTGGCAAAAACATTTTCGGCGTATTAAAATTCGTTGTGAAAAGAAAAGAAAGTCTGTAAGTTCCAATATTCACAGTAGGGCAAAGATTTGACACCAGTGATGGCTTCATGTCATTTTTGACTATCTCTAATCAGCCTGGAAAAAACTACTCAATCTTCAATGGTGTTGTCGTTAATGGCATCATTGCTCTCATTCCTATTATTGTTGCTATTATCACATTTATTGTAACTATTGTCAACATCATTTTTATCATTACCAATATTGATCATTACCACTGCTACTATTATAATCATAACTACTGTTTTCTTTACTACTGCTGCAAACTCTATAACCATCATCATCATAGCCATTATTATGTTAACAACCTCACATTATTATTATTATTATTATTATTATTATTACTATTATTAAATAATTAATTATTTATTTAATATTACTATTATTATCACTGTCATTATTATCACTATGACTATGATTATTACTGCTAGTACAACCAGTATTATTACGATTACTATAATTACTAGTAGCAGTAACCGTAGCATTTGCTGTTATTACTGTAATTATCATTCTATTATAATGATAACTATTATCATTATTATAACTGTAACTATAGTTATATTAACAGCTTTAATAATAACAATTATTATTACCATTATTACGATCATTATTATCATTGCCGTTAACAGTACTTCAATATAACACTTGGAAGCAGAAAGAGAAATTTGCGTTTGCTGCTTTTTAGTATTTCGAAAATACTGAGGTAATAATATTCCAGAAGCACAAACTTGGTAAAAAAAAGGAACGGAAACAGTATCAGTTAATTGATTCTTGCACAAAAAGTTATTCTTTCGGAAGAACACAAATGTAGAAGATAGGAATGTACATAGGTACCGTTATGTGTAAGTATTTCTGCAATGAGCGTTTAACTTTATGAAACATCCACTGACTAATCTCTTTTCCACAGTTATTATTAAAGTCAGAAAAAACATTTTTGCTGACCCTCCCAATTAAATAATAAAATTACTCGACAGCATTTCTGTTTGTTTTTTCCTTTGAATTTGTTTATTTTCCTCCTGATAAACATCAGCTGTATACAGCTGAGGAGGAGAATATGGAAGAGAAAAAGAAAAGTTTTTTTCGGATTTATAAATACAAGCCAACAATTTGAGGCGAAAAAACAAAGAGAGAAATGAGCAAAAGATAGAAGATATAAGATAGATGGGTAGAGAAGGAAAAATATAAGCAAATTAAAAAAAAACTAAGCAGAAGATGATTCTTTTTTTTTTTCTGTCTTCTGCTTTGTTCATTTCGATAGCAACACATTTTATGTCCAATATTTTCTAAACGTTTTTTTTGCTTTGTTTTGGTTCAGATCTACAAATCGAAACTACTCACAATGGAATTTTCACATCTTTCTGCTACCCCTTCATCTCGTCAGCTTTATCAGTTAGAAAGCAAAAAAAGATCAATAGAAATAACTGGGTATAATACAAAAAAGAGGCATAGGAAAGAAGTAAAAAACAAACGACAAACAATGGCGGCCAAGCAGTGAGGAAGAAATAAAGAAACAAACTCAAAATACATGTTTCTTCATAAAATATTGGAACTGCCC